TTTGCATATCACAGTCTGAATAAAATAAGGCCAAGTAATGATGAAAACTATGAAACATGAACTAACATAATGAAAAGTCAGATCTAAAATAGTTCGTTCACCACTCTGTAGTTCATTTGCAGCAGCCGTACAGTTCCAATGTTTGCACCAGGGTCATTCATGAATAGAATCCGATCCTTTACGAGCAGAAGTATCCAGGTTTAGAAACAAGTCCTTGTCTTCAAAATCTGCACTACGAGATGCACACATAGTTTGGAAAGTGGGTGAATTTTCTTTCAATACTGGAGTGAACTGCTTAACTGCACATTAACTTCTGTCATCTCTGCATCACATGCACTTTCAGATGGTTCAAGACTTGCCGAGTGCATTTTCATAACTTCACTATCAGTTTCTAGGAACTTGCAGTTGCATTTTTACTTTCTTCTACCTCTACTTCAGGCACGTGAGAATCAAAATCTTCCTTCCTGTCTTTTATTTCTTCATGTTTTTGTTCTTTTTCTTTAATCCCATTACATATTTCATCGATCATTTCTGGATCTTTCTCAGGCAGTTCTTAGCTACTTCTTTCATTTCTTCATCCTTGGATTCTCCAGATGCCACTACTGTCCTTTTCACATCTTATTTTATGGCTCCAGTTTCTTCTGCAAGCTCCACTTTCAGCGGTTGGAGTTGCTTTCACACCTTTTCTTGGCCTTCATTTATTTCTTCCCACTGGGCTTTCTTATCTTCCAGTCCGGCATTGATCTCAGCTGTCATCTTTTTATATCCAGCTTTTATCTCATCATATTCGGCTTTTATCTCAGCTTTCATCTCTTCCTGTCCGGCTTTCAACTCAGCTAAAAGGTCCATCAAAGTCTGCAGGCAGGTCATTGGCATTCACTCGCAAATCCCACTTCTGACAAATGGGCTATTTCTCACCAAATGTAGCAACCCTGCCTTCCTTTGCCATTTATGGCAACCCTAAACTGCTTTGCGGGAAAGCTATCTTATCGTGCCTGTACATTTCGTAACAATATGTACGTGTATGTGTGTACAAACACACACATATACATTTTTGAATCTGGTCCTGATAATGAAAAAGTACAAATAATTTTTTTTTTTTTTTTTTTTTTTTTTTTTTTTTTTTTTTATCATAGTACTAGGAACAACCCTAGATCACAGAAGTTGCTCCAAGCAAAGAGGTGCATTATGAAGCCCCAACAACACAGATCATGAAAAGAGATCATCAGAATTTAAATACTACTACTAACTAGTTTGATTGGTTTGGCAGATCTTTAGAATATGGTAACTGGTAGTTTGGCAACATTTTGGAGGCGATAAAGGTTACTACCTGGGACTTTGGTAATAATGTGAGCAGTACTCATTTCCGATTACGCATTATTTTGTGTGAGGGAAATGAGAGATCATGGGATATGTCATGTGATACTAATGGACGAATTACGGTTCTTTAATCGGAAAAGGGGGGAAATCGGGAAAAATCTGGAAATTTTGTATTTGGCTTTATTCTGTGTTGTGTGAAACAGTGTTCGTTAATTTTTGGATCCCATGGCCCTAACTAAAGTGAATTCGAAATGGGTATTTAGTGGGATTGAAAGGGGTAGTACAGTCAAAAGTCTTTAATCCGGACTCGTAGGGACTTCGGCGATTTCGGATTATCGATTTTTCCGGATTATAGATCATCAGTTTAAATCTGGTAAGATGGCATGCAGAAATTATAAAATTAAAAATATGAAACCGTAATTTATAAAATAATGAGCAATTATGATCTAAAGGGTATCAAAATTTACCAAAAAAGAAGCCTAATATTTATTTGTTTACTTTATTAAACATTTCTTTCAACGCGCGGATGCGTAAAGCATACCTTACGCATAGCCGAAATTAGAAAATTGCAACCAGAAAACTATTTGATTTGTATTCGTGGTATTTATAATGACGAGGAATTTGATTTAAATCATATCAAAGACGGAGTACATCGAAATTAAATACTACATTTAGTAAGGAATTATAAGCCGAATAAAATAAAAACATCTGCTCTGAAGATAACGATAGTGTTGACAAATCAACTTCCAGTTCATTGCGCGCCGGGACGTCTTCCCCCCCCCCCGCGCAGAGCAGCGTGAAATTGATAAACAGATTTCGGAACGGTTAGATAAACAAAGAATATGCCTTTATCCATTTTTTGTAGCAATTCGTTTTTTGTTTGATGGACATCGAAACATACTTTCATTTTCTAGATCCTTTGGGAGCTCCAGCATCGGAAATTCTATTTGACATAATCAAAAGTTCAAGCTTACTTTTAGAAAATTGCTCTTACAGTCTGCAAAAAATAATAAGCCGGATCCAATTCGAAGATTAAGGAACAACGCAATCATCAACATTAACTGAAATAGATAATTAGATAATTTTAGCTTATACCGTCCGTTATACATTAAACGCGCACGAAAACATATTCTGCACTTGCGCAGACGCATATGCGCAGTCGTAAATGTCTTGGGCACATGAGTAAAATGCCTATGCGCATGCGCAGAAAGATTTTAGCTTTGAGGTCCGGATTATGGGTGTCCGAATTAACGACTTTTGACTGTAATAAGTGTTTCTTTAAGGTTGTGCGAGATAGAAGTAAAGATGTTTTATTAAGTTATTTATTTTACTTGGTACCTTGCTGTGAACTATAAGTATGATTTTAAAGATCCTGAAACAGGCGCACATACGCTTGCTTTTTATTTAGCGGATGAAATAAGAAATGTTTATCGGACACGTAATCAAGATTCGGAAGAAGATTAGTATTTTTAATTATTTGAGGATATTATTTTTATGCATTGTTCTAAATGTAAGGTGGAAGTAAAGTAATTTGGTATTATTGAGAAAATTGTTATTAGCAATGATTTAGTTTAAAGTAATTAGGATTGTAAGCTAATTTTTATTAATTTAATGTATGTGCTTATTTATATTTTAAGTAGTGTTTTTGAATTTAATTATATTTTAATTAAATGATAGTTATTTTGTGAATTTTATGTTTGTAGGAATTTGGTATACGTTTTAGTTGAAGTAAACGTGCATGGAAATAATTTAAATATTTGACACTAAGTATTTGTAATGTTTGCGATATGAATTCGTTGGTGACGTTTATAATATAATAGATAATTTAGAGGTAAAAGTTTTTGAATATTTTATTTATTTTATATGTGGAAATGTTCATATTTGGAAAGGGTATATACTTTTTCGTTATTAGGTAATTTCATGTATGTTCTTTTTAACGGGTTTAAAGATTCAGAAAATTGTCATGCATTTTCGTGAAATTTTTCTAATTTATGAGAAAAAAGGAGTGTACATGGATATGTTGAAGAGTGTATGCAATGCCATTTTTGTGCAATTCTGGGATTTTTTTTTTAAGTAAAAATAAGTCGACGTGTACATGGTTTACTGATATTTTAATTAAATGATAGTTATTTTGTGAATTTTATGTTTGTAGGAATTTGGTATACGTTTTAGTTGAAGTAAACGTGCATGGAAATAATTTAAATATCTGACACTAAGTATTTGTAATGGTTGCGGTATGAATTCGTTGGTGACGTTTATAATATAGTAGATGATTTAGAGGTAAAAGTTTTTGGATATTTTATTTATTTTATATGTGGAAATGTTCATAGTTGTAAAGGGTAAATATTTTTTCGCGATCAGGTAATTTCATATATGTTCTTTTTACAGGGATTAAAGATTGAGAAAATTGTCATGTATTTTCGTGAAACTTTTCTAATTTATGAGAAAAAAGCAGTGTACATGGATATAGTGCGCAATGCCATTTTTGTGTAATTCTGGGATTTTTTTTAAGTAAAAATAAGTCGACGTGTACATGGTTTATGTGTATGTGTTATTTTGAAAAACGCGTAAAGAGTATGGTATTGTGCACATTTTCCCAATTTTGCAGTGAATATTTGTCATGATTAAGCAGTTTTGTTAGATAAAATTTCTAGCATAAGTGTAATTCGGCTAGTAGATTGTTGGAAGAAGTGTTCAGTAAATAAAAAGAAAAGAAACACGTCTTTACTTCGTGAAGACAAAATGGCGGCGGGGAAAAAAAAAATAGAGGGTTGCTGTAGGAGAGTTGGTCGCCAAATTTTCGCCAAAAAATCGCCAAGTTACCATAATGTAAAGATTAACCTGGTTTATTTGATTACAGCAAAACACACTCAGACTATGCACCTAAGGGAAGGGATGTCTTTGTGGAGAACCTTCTAAAGGAAACTGGCTCACTACACATGGGGAAAATTGCAATACTATTAACTGATTATAATACTTAATTAATGAATGGAATTTTTTTAGCAGTACTTAATGCAAAATGACTACAGTCTTTAATCTTCTAGGAGATTTGTCTGATTCCATTTGACGTTTGCTGTATTTAACGATGTAAGGATCGATGCCAATAAACTTTTATAAAGAGTGTAATACACTTGATTGTTTCCGGGAGACTAGACGGTCTGATACCCCCCCCCCGAAAAAAAACTAGTACTTTTCTGCTATCGCGACAGGATTCAGAAATGCATGTATGAAGGCATACATGTATGTGTCAATGTTCGTGTGAACACACTCACATATACACATACATAAGTTTCTGAACACGGTCTTGATAACAGTACCAAAAATGTATTTCTGGCTCCCGGTAATACTTTGATTGTCTAAGTCAAAGGAAATGAAAATAATTTGTTCTACACTCGATCGGATAAAAGAATTCTTTAACATATGAATCTACTTCATTAGAAAGGCAAATTTCATCACGGCGGCATTAATTTTTCCCTACAATGAGCACAACAGCAACGCACCATACGGAGGTTAACGTTAGTCTGAAACATTCATAACTTTCAACTTTACAGATGGAATATAAAACAACCACTAGTTATATGTCATAAATAACTCTTAATTTTAATTTCAACTAGCAATGGGAAAAGATTATTGTTACATGTATTACATCTTTGTGATTAAAGTAAAATTTAACATCTTACTTCATCTGCTGTGACACAGAAGGAAATATGAATTCCTGTCAAACTTAAGAAAGCTATAATGTAAAGAAGTTCCTTATAAAACATGCTGCTTTAACTAAATAAAGAGCATCGTCTACAATTATTCATGAACATAACCAAATGTTTCTGTTTCAGATGTAAACATGATAAAAAAAACATAACCATTGAAACTGTTAAAACAGTTACAGTTAATAAATAAACAGAGAAAAGTAGTTTACCACGCATTGAATAATATTTATTTACACTGAAAAATCATTCTTAATTTTAAAGTTAAATAAATTTCAACTATTTATATATTCTGCAAACTGGTTAAGATTGCTTTTATATGACTGAATAATAAAATATTTTTGAAATAATAGCTAGTCATCTGATGCAAACTTTGAGAACAAACTTTGATTTGATTTTCATAGATGGCAATATTATTTGTTATTATGTGGGGTGTTATTGTTAGTTTCATTTTCGAGGCAGTTTAAGTGTTCCAATGCGTATATTTGCGTAGACTGGCTATAAGTTGAATGTTGGTGTGAAAGCAGAAAGTATTAGACTTATATTTTCGATGATATGGTTCTCGTAAAGGGAATTTCTTTTTAATGCATCACTGTCTTTGAAGATGTGAAGAGACTGAAATGTTATTTAGATGAAATTGATAATATATTAATGGAAATGAATAGCAAATCGTTCCGAAATATTCCTGGCTCTAAGCATCGTTCTTCTTCTACTGCTCTTATATCTTTACACTTCAACAAGGCAGATGAAGAGCAATTAGAAATTAATTATGGGGAGAAGAGTCCTACTCCTGGACAGAAAGAAACTAAAAATGACACTTTTTCAGAAACGTCATCCACCTCTGGCACTAAATTATCTGATTTTGATGTAAATTTTGTTGATGATGATGAGGAAACTGCATCCAGATCTTCCGTGGAATCCATGTCTGATTCCAAGAGTCGGTCTGAATCAAGGGAATCAACTCCTGGAAGGGATTCCGTTGTGAAAGAGTATTGGTCTCGTATAAGTAGAAGAGCATGCAGTTTAGATTCTGATCTGGGATTAGGCGAAAAAGGACAAGAACCAAATGAAGGTTGGATGTTTTTCAAAGACATAAAAGGAAAACTTGCAAAAACATTAGAAGAACGCAAAGGTAAAGAACACCTATTAAAAGGTGTTAGTAAAGATGATAAATGGAGTGTTAAGGAAATTAGTGACAACGAAAACACATTGGATACAACTGAGTGTGAATGTACACCAACTGATAATGCTGAAGAAAATAAAAAATACTTAAAATTAAGTCCAGCAATAGAAGCTTCAGAAATTGGGAATGAGCACTCTTTCTTTGAGAGCTACATAAATGATGAACTGGAAAAAGCTAAATGTGAAATAGTGGGTATTAAAAAAGAAGACTTAGCACCAAATACTCAAATTCTGTCACAACTAAAAAAATCTCCCAAAAAAATGAAAGATCAAAAAGATACACATAAGAAAGAATTTAGTATGACTCTTTCATCACTTATGAGTAATAGACATCCAAGCACAGAAACAACTACTGAAGAAATAGAAAACACTGTAGATGCTAGCACACTGTGTGCAGATAATATAGGAGTTTCTGGCAAAAATGTTGAGATGCAGGAAAAGAGTATTTTTTTTAACATTTTATCACAAGTTAAAAAATGTGTGTCTTTTATAAGATCATCTTGGAGTAGTGTGACATTTCGTATACTTATTGTAATATTTGCATGTGTAGTTTCTCCTTTCCCTTCCTGGATCTCGGGGTTTTTAATTGGAAGTATTTTGTCCGGCTTTAGTGTATACTGGTTGTTTAAGCCAGGAAGGCCAAAAGACCCTTTTTTTCTTCCCAGTTATAGCCAAATTCTGTCCAATATTCCTATTACTGAAGTAACAGATGAACCTATAATTTACAAAGTGAGTTTTTCATTATTTTTTTCTTTTGTAATATAATAAAAATAAAGATTTTTATGGCATATATATACTACTGAAAAACAAGTTCACAGCATCTTTGCAAAACTTTTAGATACTGGTAGAATTCTTAGTCAGTATGAGAGACGACAAGTAAATGAGGCTTGTTGCCTCTGGTAAAAAAGTGAGAAGAGCCACAAAATTAAGGTGGTCTTAAATGTTAGCTCTTAACTGTGTACAGATGGTTTTCTGCATTAATACTTTTACTGTAATCAGTATTAGCAAATAAGAAAACATCAAGTCTTTACTGTAATCAGTATTAGCAAATAAGAAAACAGAAATAAGGTTCACAATAAAATTGTTTGGTATTAAAACTGATTTAAACCATAGATGATTAAATATTAAATTATATTTTAAATATATATTGTCATCAGATATTTCAGACTTAAACTGTAAAATAAAATGAAAATGTCATTAAAGGAAAAAATGTTCCTCCCCTTAGTAGTTTTTTACATCTCAACCAAATTGGTTCATATTAATAACAAAAATTAATTAATTTCTGTGTAATTGAGATTTGCCTCAGTTGTTAAAATCTGAAAATATGGTTCAGTTTTGTTATTTTTAGTATGATATTTTTAATATTATAATGTCACTTGTGGAACATTTTACAACTTTTAAAGCAGTTTAATAATATGTTCCTATAATGTTATATCATTTTAAAAGAAAAAGCATTATCATGCTGATACGATAACTGTTTTTTGTCCCCACTCTTAAAAAAAAAACAGAGAAAAAGGTCATATCTCATGTTATCTGAGATTTATACTTAGTATTCTTATAGCATTTATTTTTAATCCGAAATAGGATAGATAAAACATATTTTTAATATTTTCTGAAATTTTTAGGCACTTTTCCTTTTGCGCATAAATCTGGCAGTAGTATCTCATTACGCTTTGGATATAGCTTGTAATATACTTGAATATCCTATAATATGCTTTGCTATATCTTATAATTATATCTGACAAGTCTTGTCAGAATTTCTTTGGAGAAAGAAGCAAGCAGGAGAAGTTATTTTGTTTCCATTATAGAGGCAACAGGCAAAGTTTCCACCTGAAATAAACACTAATTGACATGAGCAACATCCCTTCTAACCTTTTTATAATTAAATTAATTTTTCTCATTTTCTTATTACTAATTATTATGTGTTATTATATCAACTGTTCTTAGGATTTTACGATATTGCAGGCAGATAAAAGTACCAATTTTTAATTTTTAGTCACAAAAAATTGAGTGTAAAGTCCCCCCCCCTCCCCATTTTTAAATTTAAGACATGTTTTTTATTTACTATTGTTTTATTGCTAACAAAGATTTTTATAAATGATATTAATTTACAAAATGTTCTTTTCCATTATTCATTCTGACAGGAAAATCTAAATCATATTCCCCCTCTCATTCTTATATTAATAACAAAAATTAAAATAAGAAATCAATCATAGAAAATGATTGAAAGAAAACAATGCGAATTTTCCTCTTTAATGCAAAGAATTAGCTAAAATCCATACAGATTAATTGATTAAAGGAAGAGAATGAATTCACGTTTCTTGGTACAGTCGAAAAAGTCAAAAGTCGTTAATTCGGACACCCATAATCCGGAATGATCTATAATCCGGACCTCAAAGCTAAAAACTTTCTGCGCATGCGCCACGTTGACACATGTGCATAGGCGTTTACACGTGCACATAAGACCTTTACGACTGCACATATGCGTGTGCGCAAGCACAGAATATGTTTTCGCGTGCGCGTTTAATGTATAATGGACGATATAAGCTAAAATTATCTATTTCAGTTAATGTTGATGATTGCGTTGTTCCTTAATCTTCGAATTGGATGCGCCTTATTATTTTTTGCAGACTGTAAGAGCAATTTTATAAAAGTAAACTTGAACTTTCGATTATGTCAAATAGAATTTCTGATGCTGGAGCTCCCAAAGGATCTACAAAACGAAAGTATGTTTCGATATCCATCAAACAAAAAGTGGTATTGCTGCAAAAAATGGATAAAGACATAAAGAAGGTGACAGAGAGGTTAGTGAAAATGAAAAAATTTCGATTGACAAGTTAGTCGGTATTCTCGGCACAGCAATTATGGGACTTGAACAGTGGAACTTTGTAACTGAACAAGAAATTATGTCTGTTTACAGAATTAAAGAGAAAGTATTATCACATAAAACGAAGCAACTCGAACAACTTACATTGAAAGAAATGTTTAATAAAGTAAACAAATAAATATTAAGCTTTTTTTTTTTTTTTTTTTTTTTTTTGTAAATTTTGATACCCTTTAGATCATAATTGTTCTTTATTTCATAAATAACGGTTTCATATTTTTAATTTTAGAATTTCTGCATGCCATCTTACGAGATTTAAACTGATGATCTATAATCCAGAATCGCCGAAGTCCCGACAAGTCCGGATTAACGACTTTTGACTGTATAACCTGCCAAATATCCAGTATTGTGGAAGCACCTTGCCAGCTTTTTTTTTATCCTTGTATGAACAGATTTTTGCTCATGTCGTCAATTTTTTCAGGGCCACCTATTTACTTATTTGTCTATCAGATCAGATTTAGAGAATACATTTCTCATAAAATTGTTCTCATCAATAATTGTATTTTTATAAAGCCTGATTGTTTCCCCCGTCATTTAATTGATGTCAGTTCCTCAGTAAGTAAGTATTTGCACTATTACGAGCAGGATTCTCAAACCACTGCACTAGTTGCAAAATGTATGCTTTTCCGTCTTGGGCAACTTTTCACATTGCACCTCCAAATGCTGTGATTATTATGTAATTCTGATGAACGCCCACTATTGCATGTTTGAGTGCAAAGTAAAAAACATCTTTCATGAAGGAAGATATAGGATCTTCCTCCTTTTTTGGTAAATTGAATGTTTTATTTTTTTTATTTTATTTTATCCTTTTTTTTTTAATGAAAATGCATTAATGTGATGACAAAATTATGAGCAATCATGACATTTATGTGAAAAAATATGACAATGTGTTTTACTCTGAGCTGTTGTTGTCACAAGCAAACTGTAAATGATCATCTTTAGGACTGCCAGGTATTTTTGCATTGGACGATTATCAATAATTTTGGTGAAGGCACAATTTCAAGATAGCCGCTACACAAACCCAAAATAAGAAGTCAAAGAACTACACAAACTCTGTGTCCATGTACACATCGATCTGTTTTCACTTAAAAAACATTGTAGAATGGCACAAACTAGGCATTGCGCACTGCCTTTAATTTGTCCATGTACACATCAATCTATTTTCATTTATATAAAATCAGGAGACTAAAGCAAAGTTAAACGATCATGGTAACCAGAGATGAGATTTCATTGCCAAAATTTTACAAAAAATTATCGCTAATCGAAGGGCACCCAATTCTACACTAGAGCCCAATTATTATGTTTAAATTAATTCTTTTTTGTAGAACCTTTGTAATAAACATTCTGTGATCTTTCTTCATAAAAATGATTTTTCACTTAAACAAATTCTGTTTGATAACATTTCAAGTTATTATCCTGAGTGAAAAGTTATCATGTAACATAATGTGGGCATGTATTTGTAATTCAATATCCTTTTTAATTATTTTTCTTAGGGATGGATGAATCAGCTACCATATGATATAAACTACAATCCAGATACTTATCATGTAAATTGTACTCGTTCCCTTTATGTTCGTCTTGATGGATCTTATTTGCGAATTTCTTTTCCTCAAAGCAACATTCCAAAGAGAGCTATGTTTAATGAACCTCACCATGACAAGCAGTTCATACATCAACAACATTATGATATAACTGGTGCTTCTGTTGAGTTGTTACCAAAAGGACTTGCAAGGAAGAGGTAAAATACTTTCGGATGATGATGTCAATTTTTGTATGTAGCATATTTTTATGTATTGTGTTTGTTTGTTATAAGTTGTTTGAAGAAAATAATTTCAGTTGCTTTGGTGCAGCTAGTTATATATATATATATACATATTATATATATATATGTATGCATATATATAATGTTGTATGATCTTAAATCCATTTAGTGCGAATACAAGTTATTATTATTACTTGCGCAATTGCTGCAAAGTTAGTTAATAATAATTTATTTCCTAAACAGTATTGATTAATTGATTATATATCTCCTAAGTTTAATTAAAGTAGAATTATTTTAAAAGTGTGCATCCATACTGGTAAGTTATATTTTGAAAGATGTTTTGAAGTAATTTGAAAGCAAAATGTTAATAATGTTTTAACGGGGACTGGAGTTAAATCATCATGAGGAATAATATTTCAATTGTGAAAGGAAAAATTAAAACATGTAATCATTGTCATTGATCGGAAATTAGTTGACTTTTCAAGGGGAACAAACCAACTCCCGCTCAATGAACAATAATTGATAAAAATATGTAAATACGAAAATATTTCGTCTTTACTAGAGTTATAAGTGAAAGCCAAACCGGCAATTCTAGTCAGGCCAAATATTTCCGCGAATAGTTGCTACTCAAAGAACTTATTCTCATGAAGCATTTTAGTCAATTCAATTTGGAGTAAAAATCAATTACTGTAGAGAAATCCTGTAAAACTCGAGTAACCGTCCCCAACATTTTCATCTTTATGTATTTGAGTACTATATAATTTGTAGAAATTAAAAATTGGAATTTGTCATTATGAAATCGAATTCAAAGTAAAGTTGAAATAAACATAGAAGATTATAAAAAAGATAAATAATGCAAACTTTGTAAAAACAAATCAAAGAAAATATAAAATAATAATAAAAATAATATAGAAAATAATATAAATAAGATCAGTGAATGTACATGAAGATATAAAGGCCAGAAAGGTATTAAGTAACTTACATTCTTTCTAGTCGGGGAGTTGGGCAAAGTGTTCTCTTCGTGTCTGACTCAGAAGTGTAGGGTGTCCGAAAATTCTTAGCGGCAGTAGGGGCTTTGAATAATATCAGTCGGTAAGACTTGGGTGAAGTAATTTATGGTAGTGGGTGGGACTTGGAATTCTTGAGGGATGTATTTTGTGGAGTTCTTATCTGAGAGAGACCGTCTGTTAAGATTTTTTTGAAAATATTTATATATATATATATTATATTATATATATATATGTATGTATATATATATATAAAGTTTTGAAACTGTTAGTTTAGCCATTTGACCAATTATGTATATGTTATGAAACAAATTTTCATATCTTCAGTTTTTGTTGTATAAGAACTTAATTTTGCAGCTTGTGTGACCTATAATCCCTGTACTGTAAAAATTTGATGTTATGTCTATGATATAAATATTTAAACATGTAAAGATATTAATTAGTTTGAACTGTAACAGGAACGTTCATACCAGTATTCATTGCCAGATTAACAATGAACAATTAAAACAAATATTTAGGGTCTGTCATTCAGGTAGATTTGACGGTAAAAATGAGTTATAAATAAACCATTGTTTTTAATTAAAAATCAACAGTAAATCCTTTACATTGTAGCATATTATTAGTTTTAAGTAATACCAATAAATGTCATCATAATATTTGATAAAGTTATAAATTTGGTTTCAGTAATACAAGCTGAATTAGTATATAATGTGTGAAGCTATGTATATGTGACAACTCCATATATCCGTATTGTATTTGTGTGTTTATTGCTCGCTCTTAATCCATTTGCTATTGTAGACAGGTAATGTAACAAACATTTTTCCTTTTATTTTTTAAAATCGTAATTCCATAAAATGCCAAACATGAATTGGTAATGTAAATCAGAATTTTAAAGAAGGAAAGCTGGAAAGAAAGTTAAAACAATAAAATAGTAATGTTCAAGAAAGGAAACAAATCTAAGCATATCAGTATCAATTAATGAAGAGAGAAAACTTAAATCAGTGTACGTTAGAAAAGAAAATAGAAAAAAAGGAAAATGAACAAAACATTATACAAAAGAAATAGCAGGAACATCAATAACACATATTAATTAAGAAAATGTAGATCGTGTATGAAAGAAAGGGAAGAAAGAAACAAAAGTGAAGACAAAAAAAAAAAAAAAAACTTCAAATGTTATTTTTGCAGTATATCTATGTAGTAAATACATTTTAATTCCATTGTGCAAGATATCATAATTAAAAATAAATTGCTGTTTAGCATATACAGTCAAAAGTCGTTAATTCGGACACCCATAATCCGGAATGATCTATAATCCGGACCTCAAAGCTACAAACTTTCTGCGCATGCGTCGCGTTCACACATGCGCACAGATGTTTACGAGTGCGCGTAAGACCTTTACGGCTGCGAATATGTTTGTGCGCATGTGCGTTTAATGTGTAACGGACGGTATAAGCTAAGCTAAAATTATTTAATTCAGTTAATATTGCATATTGCGTTGTTCCTTAATCTTCGAATTGGATCCGGCTTATTATTTTTTGCAGACTGTTAGAGCAATTTCATAAAAGTAAGCTTGAACTTTCGATTATGTCAAATAGAATTTCCGATATATATTTACTAATATGTAATTTGTATCTACAAAGCGAAAGTATGTTTTGAAATCCGAAATCTGTTTATCAATTTCACGCTGCGGATTGGAAGTTGATCTGTCATCACTATCCTTATCTTCAGGGCAGATGTTTTATTTTATTCAGCTCATAATTCCTTACTAAGTGTAGTATTTCATCTCGATGTACTCTGTCTTTAATATGATTTAAATCAAGTTCCTCATCATTATAATTCGCTGCCGATAGTGAAGAAAGTGACCCAGAGGTTATTGAAAACGAAAACATTTCGATTGACAAATTAGTCGGTATTCTCAACACAGCAATTATAGGACTTGAACAGCGGAACTTTGTAACTAAACAAGAAATTATGTCTGTTTAATAGAATTAAAGAGAAAGTATTATCACATGAAACGAAGCAACTTACATTGAAAGAAATGTTTAATAAAGTAAACAAATAAATATTAAGCTTTTTCTTTTTGTAAATTTTGATACCCTTTAGATCATAATTGTTCTTTATTTCATAAATTACGGTTTCATATTTTTAATTTTGTAATTTCTGCATGCCATCTTACCAGATTTAAACTGATGATCTATAATCCGGAATCGCCGAAGTCCCGACGAGTCCGGATTAACGACTTTTGACTGTATTTAGTAAATACCGTAACTTTGAGCTGATACGTCACCTTGGCATATATGCAACACACATAATGTTAAAAAAAAATAAGAATTCATCATATATGCTGCAAAAACACATTCCAAAACAAAGCGCTTAATATTCAGTTATTCAGAATTCCTTTCCATATTGATGTAATGATCATCGATAACATTTTATGACATTTAGTAGTATAAATCAAAGTATCAATCAAATCAGTAATGTCAATAAATAAGCAAACATCATACCTTGAACTTGCCAAAAATTAACTCTGCTGATTTCCAATGCATGTTATTTTCAGGGTTTAGTAAACTTTGTCATCATAAATTACCATATTTTGAAAACAGGTGCTTAAATCAGATTATCAAACTGAATTTTATAATTAAAATGAATTACATTTATTTATACAAAACCTTCAGAATCGGACTCATTATTGTCAGAATTAAATAAATTAAGAAAGTGACCATCAAGGTCACTTTGATCATTCTGCTCTAAATCAGTTCTTTCAATGGGCCAACCAGCGGCCGAGCAGTAAAGTTGCTGAATACTGGTAGTTCGGTCTGAGGTTTGAATTCTGCAAAAGGCTGGCTGTATAGACGTTTTCATGGTTTTCCCCATGTGTAACATTTATACGAGCCAGTTTCCGTTAGAAAGTCCTCCACGAAGGCATCCCTCCCTTTAGGCTTTGCCATAATCACATACTCATATTTCTTTCAATGTCACTATCTTCATTTTCTTTTTTGATGATTTCAGATTTAATAAAAGCTGATCTAATCATATCAACATGGATAAGTTGTCATGCTTTATCGACCCACAAGACAGCTTCCTCATGTGAAGTTTTTGTCATCCATTCGAAATTTGTGAAGGATTGTGCTTAACATTTGTTATCAAAAGATTAGGTTTTGTAATATTCGGATACTTGGATAACAGATCATGATATTTTAACTTATCATGTACTAAACTTATATCATTCATTTTGAAGATGGATGTAATGTCACATTGAGTAGTAAGGTTAGTTACACCATCAATTAATCTTTTGTTCTTTAAATCAATTAATAACTTGAAATGATCCAACAAGTCTTCTCCGATTATGCTTTTATTAATTTTGGCAATAATGAATGGCCATTGAAAAGCTCGATGAAGGCCAAGATCAAACGTTAAAAATTTTACCCATAACTGGGAATTTCTGTGCCATTGGCAGCATATAATTTGAAGTCATTGTAGTTTATCTTTTTGTGTAGCAGGTAATAAACAAGCATCTGCACCGGAATCAATTAGGAAATACAAACCCGTGTGTTTGTCAGTCACAAATATTCAGTGTTTGTGGCCATCCTGAACATAACCTGCAGCAAAATCAGCCGCTGATTCCACTGCTGGTTTAAGTTTTCCGACTTCTTTTGACCCCAAGAGCAGTTAGGTTGACACTTTTCAGGAATGCATTTTGAACCAAACATGTAATGGTAATAACAATACTTTCCATTTGGATTAAATCTTTTACGTTTATTACTTCTACTTCGCTCTCTGTATCTATCGCTACTACGATTCCGAGACTGAGATTGGCGAGAAACACTTAAAAGTTTCTATTTATTTTCCCAGAGAAGAAATTTTTAGCAGTAACTCATCAACCGAATTTAAGTTTTTGGCAGAGTAATAAATTTCAGACTTTGAATTCATTTCCATTATTTTGTCGGCCATTAAAGCTATTTTATCTAACCCTTCATCGGAAACCAGTAAAATATTTTTTATCGAGTCAGGCATTTTTCCTAACCACAATGTTTTGAGTACTTAATCTGAAATGTCATCAGTAGCAAGTGATCTCATTTTTTGAAGTAACTGACTTGGTTTCATATCTCCAAGGTCAAGGCCAGTGACTAAGTGCATAATTCGCTTATTTTCGCTCTCTTTGAATGTGTTTAACAGTCTTTAACTAAGGTATATTTATTATCAGACGTTTTATCCGTGATGATATCCCAAATAATTTCAACATATTTTGGTTCTAGTTGAGATACTACATAATTAAATTTGGTACTATCAACAGTTATGGCATTAATTTCGAATTGAGGTTCTATTTGAAAAAACAAAATTTCAGGCTTTTCTGGCCAAAAAGGTGGAATTTTAACACTCACCTTGCAAGTTTCCAGCGTTAATGTTCCTTTCATTACCCAATGTTACGGTCACCAATCTTTTAATGTGGATTTGATGAATAAGCAAAATCGAAACTGATCAGCCAGAGCATTTCATAAGTGAAATAAATGCTTATTTTGGTCTTAAAAGAAACAGTATATTTATTTTCACGATTTTCATTTTTGTTTGCAACATGTTACTTATTTTTTACATAAAAATATAACAAACTTTTAAGAAATAAAGCTTATGCAAACACTTATCAAGGAACATTCCAAGTAACGATGTTTTTAGCTCGACTAGTTGTTGCCACACAGCAAATCTTAATAACTGTTCAAAACATTACATCACGTTGCCACTTAGAAAATTTTAATAATTATATAGAAACATTAAATTATGTTCCACTACAGAACTTCCGAAGTAAATGCGAAACTTCTGAACCGCTGGTAAAACAGCGAACGTTTCTCGCTCTTTTGCCGAGTAGTTCCTTTGAGTTAAGTTCAGAGTTTTTGAATAAAAAAGCTATCGGCTGCCCTTTGTGGGAAAGAACTGCACCATTTGCGTAATTGGATGCATTTGCAGCAATCTCTAGATCTTGTTCCCCTTCAGGGAATTTGAGGACTACGGCATTAATTAGGGTATTTTTTAGTTGTTCAAAAGCCATGTTTACCTTAACTGTCCAAGAAAATCTGGTTTTCTTTCTTTTAAGCACCAAAAGAGGCTCGACAATCTTCGCAAAGTCCTTGATAAATACCCTGTAATAGGAACACAAGCCCAAAAATGAAGATAATTTCTTAGGGAAATTGGCTGGAAATATCAAAAACTCTCATACAGGTGACCCATTCACCATAATGTAAACTCAGGCTTAACTGTTAATGCAGCAGTCTCATTGATCGGCCACTGGCAGACCCGAGTGTATGCAAATAAGCTGATTTTATGTAGTTTAGAAAATAGGATATCTTTTTTCCAGACTTTCTATTCTGATTTTTAGGTTTTTTTCAAAACCAAAGTATTTTTCAAAAATTATTATTGTCACACTTAAAATATTTAAAATGTCATGCTTTGAATAGCAATAGTGTCAGATAAATTATATTCTTTATCAATGCAAGAATGTGGAAATGTATTAGTGAAAAGTACAAAAAAAGTATTTTACCTAAATCAATTATTTAAATAGGTGTATTTTAATATATTTAAATAAGTATTTTTAACTATGAATTTTAGTAAATTCTCTCATCTCTGAACAAATTCCATGTTTGCCAAAAAATGTAAAGCTATAAATTTAAAATATAAAAATATTTCAATATAGTATATTTGAATTCAGCCTTCTCCACCTTTTCAAATAATTTTAAGCGTTTTTGCAAAATCTCCCCACCTACATCCTTTCATAAATAACTGATTTGTAAGTAATCAAGTTGTAAATTCTAAGTAAAAAAAAAAAAATTAGAGTTATTATATTTATAAAAGATAAATTCAAACGTTGTATATTTAGAAGAGATAAACTATTAATATAAGATAATTTTGATATTAATTAAAATATCTGTTGGAATGTTTATGATAGGAATTTTAAGCAGTTCACTGTAAGCTGCTATGAATTATATCTGGATGAGGAAACTGAAGCAAATAAGCTCTGTTTGACTCAAATATTATAACAGCTGTGCATACCTTCCTGACACTTAAATGAGGTAGCTTGATGGTTGCACATGTTTCATTGTACTTCCACCTGAATAAAGAATCTTGACATTTACAAGCATATGGCTTTCAGAAAATTTGACATATGGATGCAATCAGCTGTCACTATCGGAGTCATATTTCTAATAATTGCTTATATTTAAATTTTTTAATAAAGCCATTAAATTATTAGATGAAGTAAAAAAATTTTAATATTAAAGATATTTTTGCATGAGACATGAAAAATTTGAGATAATGAATATTAAGAAAGTATAAAGTTTTTCATAACTTAATAATTTTCATAATATTCTTTTTTGATTTTGCAGATGAAACTAGTATTTTTATTTATGTAAGTTTTTAAAAAAAATGCTTAATTTCTTAAACTATAAAGTATCATGTAAAATTTTGTGTATTATATTTTTAGGTATACTGTTTGTTCTACAGTGTATTTAAATTTAATCATAATTATTATAACTACTTATCAAATATTTACATAACATTTATAATCTTTTTTATAATGCTTTGAAAGTAACCGGTATTTCTCAGAATATAATGAAAATCATCATTCCAACAATGATAACTTCTGAAAAAGATAACAATTGGCTTGAACTGTATCTGGTTGACTTAAAAAAGTTTCACTATAGTATATATTTGGAAAGGGTTTATAAACTTTTGAAATCTGGTTTTAAGTGCACACATATTTCCTCTTTATTAAAATTAATGAACATTTTAACTACAGTTTTTAGCATCATACATATTGCATATAAGTATGCTACTTAAAGTTATTAATTACCTAAAGATGATTTGTCTGAAAAAAAAATTACTGTAAACAGGTTTATTTAATGGAATGGAATTTGTATTCCTTAGTAACTAAAGCTTCATATCTTTAAGTGTTTTTGGTCAAACTAGATGTCTTCAATCTATAATATAAAAATCTCAATTATGTAACTTCTGATATTAATTTTGTTGTGTTACATCAAATGTTTTACTCATGTACTTACACCCTGAAAAAAGTAAACAATTCTCTTAGCTTCACAGTATTTCTATTTTTAATTTAATTGGAGGTGAAAGAAAGAAAAATAATGTTGTGCATCATTTTTTGCTTTTTTGAACACTACTGTATTCACTTCCATTTTGTGAGAATATATTTCCTGCTTCACTAAAGCATTGAAGTGTTTTTTGCATGTTTTAAAGAAAAAATCCACAAGATATTTTTTGATAAGCAAAAATTACTTTTTAATAAACTATCTTAAATAACAGTTGCAAAACTGTAATGCACATTTATTTTATTTATAGACTTTGGAGTAAGAAATATCCCATATGCTTGAGAATACCCAATCCTAAACAAGCAGTTCTGTCAAATGTGGCAAAAGATATAACAGATGACAGTGTTTCTGCAAAATCAGGAAACCGGAAAGAAAATCCTCAAAAAAAATTTGTTCCTCGCATCAACGAAAACAACGAAGTAGTTATGTATCTATTTGCACGTACTGATAGAGACAAAGACTTGTGGTATAACAGATTTAAAATGGCATCAAAAATAAAAATGCTGAAATCACATTCTCCGTCTTCATCACCAAATATTGCTGCATTGGATTCTTCTAGTTTGGAAAGTAAGAGAACTATATCCATTGATTTAGCTTCTCTTCAGTTATGTTCTAATTATGACTCAACTGATACTGATAATAAGGAAGAAAGTGATGAAATTGATAGTTTTACAGATATAAGTATGACAAAACAACAGAAATTTGAGTTATATATGTCACATCTACTGGCCCCAATGCACGTTGATCATTCTCTTATATTCCCATCTTTAACAAAAGATAAAAAGGAAATCAGTGATAGCAGATTGTCAAAATCTAATTCATTAGCTCAAGGAAGTTTGATGTGGTTAAATGTTCTTATAGGACGTATTTTCTATGATTTTCTTACTGAAGATATATGGGCCCGAGTTGTCACTGAAAGAATCCAAAGAAAATTAAGTAAAATAAAAGTAAGTGTAGATATTTTTATTATTCTCTATAATAAATATTTCATAATGAATATTCACGTAACTAATTATCATATATCTCTATATGATAATTAGTTATGTGAATTAATTTAACTTACTTAATCTCTTAAATAAGTAATACTTACTTAAATCGCTTAATTTTATTTCATGTTTAATTACTACAGTTTCCTGATTATCCTTCCTGCCTGATAATGAAAGATGCATAATAATTATGCATTTTTCATTATCTGCCTGTATATTGAAAGAAACATGTATTGATCCACATGAAAATAAGAAAATTTATATGCATTCACCACACAAATTTCAATCTAAAGCTCAAGCCAAAAGGGTACAACCAGTAAGAGATGCGAGATGACATATTGGGATATTAAAGGAGTAATAACTTCCTCCGATAATATCTCGGCTTGACATTGCAAAAATCTTAACTTTACAACCAATGTCAGAACAGCATGATTACATGCAATATGTGTGTCATCGAAATAGTCTATTTTTAAGGGGATCATGCAACAATGATTCTATAGCTCTTTCAGTATGGTCTACAAACATAATAAATCAGAAGAATTCAAATACAACAGAATTAACAGGACATGAGTAATTCAGTCTGCAAAATGTATTAGGCAAAGCAAGTACCCAGAATGCTCTGACACTCTCAGCTAGAGAAAACTATCGAAAGCTTCGTGCTAGCAGGAACTCTTATCTTGAGACAATTAACTGTACTTACCATTGAAAATCCACAGGCTAGCTGTTTATATGCTTATACTTTTAATTGCTAATTTGTACTGTTGATATTATTTGCGATATTATTATAGATTGTAAAGCTTTTCATTGTTTATTAATTTGCTGTTCTTCTTGAATTAGAAACTACAGCTAATTCAATCCATGCGATCAAACACCAATTGACACATGAATGTTAGGCTTAATATATTGAATTAGGCTCCTGCATTTTTGAAGATAATGTAACAAACAGCAAAGTTTCAAAATATCTAATAATTTCATCAGGGGATCAGTACTGCATAAAATAGATTATTTTTCATAATTAATTTGCATCATTCTGCTAAGATAAATGCTTATTGAGAAATCCGATCAAATATACCAGCATTCTAGTAGAGAGCATTGGCCAGTGTAAATTTGGCAGTTAGAAGAAAATCCTAACTATTAGTGACATAGAATAACCGTTATTTTAAAAAAGGGGCACATTAAGGAATTTATGTTTGAACCATTGCTGGTATTTTAATTTATGCTTATACACTTGGTTGCTAAATTTGAGCTTACTGTGCAAATAAAATTATTGTGGTTCTAAATAAAATATGCTAATATGTTGGAAATATTCATTTCAGTACTTTAGAAGTAAGTTAGAAGAAAATCCTAACCATTAGCAATATAAAATAACTGTTATTTTAAAAAGGGTCACATTAAGAAAAAATCCATCTTATGTTTGAACCATTGCTGTGTATTTTAATTTATGCTTATACACTTGGTTGCTAGATTTGAGCTTACTGCGAACATAAAATTATTGTGGTTTTAAATAAAATATGCTAATATGTTGAAAATATTCATTTTAGTACTTTAGAAAAGAGCAAATTTACAGTGCTAGTACAGGATGTAGTTTTTTTTAGTCCAAAGGGATTTGAATCCCGAAGGACTATTAGTTTCGTTTTGGCATTTTGCGTCGGACTCATAAATGTCGGTTCACTTTTCAAACTGTTGCCACAAAATGTTAGAGTCCTGCATTATATTTGAAGAAATTAAATAATGAAAAATCTGCATAAATGTATGTATATTTCTCGTATTGTGATAAAACAACGGTACATAGTCATCGAATTTTGAATAACGTAATCCTCCAACGAATATGAGCATGTGGAAGACCAAATTTGAAATTTGTTTTATGATCGATTTCCTATTTTTTAAAACTTTGACGAATTTTTGATTAACAAACTCAAGGATTTCAAAGCGAGCAATGGCAACGTTGTGCAGAAATTTTTTATCTCCAGCGCGTGAGTCTCTGTATCGGAAATTCTAAAGATATGCTCGTTTTAAAACTATTTTGCGATATTGCTGTTGCACTGGATCTTATGGTTTAAGTGCGAGGAACATGATATTTAATAAAGAAAGGTAACACACAAAATGTTAAAAAATGTCCCTTTGGACGTAATTTAAAATCTGAAGCATTTCAGATTTTTTTTTTTTTTTTTTAAATTTCTCTTGAAGTTGATGAGCTTTAAAAAAAAAATGCTTTTCTTTCCTATTGTAGTTGTAGAATAAGATTGACTCTTAATTCAAATTGCATACAAGTTGTATACAGCTTGATCTTAAGTTAGGAATATAAATAAAGAAGCTGTTGTGACATTAGCAGTTAGGCTCAAAAACCTCTAAAATGAGTTTTTTTAATTAAATTATTTTCATTATTAACATTATTAAAATTATTTCTTTGTGCTTATTGCAAAATTTCTGTACTTATAGTAAAATTATTTTTTCATTACCATTTTAACTTTTTTAATGTGATAACCATTGCAATAGTAAATAAATATATTATTTGGTTACGCATTTTTTATTAATTTTATTTGGTACTTCACTGTTAATGGAGTACCAGTTGCCATATGTGGTATACTGTTTGTAAGGTGTCATGAATAGTTGTGCAATAAATGGCTAAGCGATGTCTATGTCCTTAAAGCCGTATTTGTACAATTCTCTTGTCATTGCACACACCATTGTTTACATTAAATATTATATGCAAAGCTCATCCACAAAGTAAATGCCATTTGGGTATTAAAAAAATATTAGCAATTTGTTTTAATTTTTGTTCCATTACAGGGAAATCTACTCACCTTAAACTACTTTTCGACATATTCACCATGCTAGTTAAGGCATGTTTCAGATCTTGGCACTAATTGCAGCATACTAACTTCATAGAATTTGGCTGTCTGTGACTTGAACCAGTTCTGGACATTTACCTTGATCTCTTCATTTGCAAAGTGCTGGCCATCTAGAAATTTCTTGAGATGAAAAAACAAGTGGAAGTTGGATGGAGCTAGGTCTGAACTATGAGGAAGATGACAAAGTTATTCCCAGTAAAATGAATCAAGCAGGTTCATCATTATGTGTTCAGTTTACTGTCACGTGACAACGTATATAATGCATGAACTCCTCTACACCAGAAGTCTGTAGTCCATGCCTTTTCTTCTGTATTGCACGCTGTAATTTCCTCAGTGTCTCACAGTAAGCTGCAGCATTGGTTGTTTTGCCTTGTTCCGTCCAGTCCACTCACAAAATTCCTTGACAGTCCCCAAACACAATGTACATGATTTTTCTTGAAGAAAGTGGTGGCTTTGCACTCTTGTGTTTTGGGAAACCAGTATACCACCATTCCAGTGGCTATCGTTATATTTCAGGTGTCTCATAACAAATTCATGTCCCATCAACTGTGATAATCCTTTTCAAAAAATTATTTCCTTTCGTCACATAACTCTGCAAAAAGTCTAAGGTTGCTCCCACGCGTTTACATTTGTAAACTTCCATTGGTGTTTTCGATACCCATCACAAAAACAGTTTTTTATAATGCATATGTTCAGTCACAATTTTATGAAATGTTTTGAAAATGCATTAACAAATCAGAAATCATGAATTGCAATGAATTTTGTTCATCGATGCAGCACACCAGTTCTTTGGTGATCAACGTGCAGGCATCCACTACACTCCTCGTCTTGGACATTTTCCTTCGTTAAACATTCTGATCCACTTTCACACCATACCTTCACTCACAGCATTCTCTACTTAAGTTGCTCTTATCTGATGATAAATTTCATAAGGGTGAACTTTTCTCATATTAAAAAACTTGATAATGGCTCATATTTCGCAGCAGGTGGGCTGATCAGTTGTTTTAAACATGATTACTTACAAACAACGACTTCAGACATTAATGTAAACAAATAAAATGGCTAGAATAATTGATTCTTGAGTTGAATGATGTAACTACCCATGTGTGGCCTTCATGTTTTGAGGTGCATGGGAGATATATGCAAATGGTACTCACCTTCTTGATCAACTTAGTATTTTTTATTATATGATATATTGCTGATTACAAGTTCTTCCCCCCCCCCTATGAAGCTTGGGAAAAACTTCATTTTTTATCTTGCAGCAAGCAAACAGTTTTTAATGCCAACAGCATAAGCTGCATCTGAAATTTTAAGAGATATATTACTCGTAACAATATAGAGGTTTCATACCCTGAAATAATTTGCCATTAATATCCATTTTAGATTTTCTAAATTTTTGAAAACTTGATGGACATAACTATTGGACAAACAACTAGATTTATGTCATAATTAGATATGACTGTGATGTATGAAAATGTATTGTAATTGTATCTGAATTTATTAAACTTTAAACATAATCTATTACTATTTAACAAAAGTTTACTGTCAAAGCAGTATTTCATAAATGCATTATGTTTACCATGTTTATTAACAGAATTAATGTCCCACGGGAAATATATTTTTTTATTAATTTCTCTGCATGTGCATACATCTGAAGTTTTTCAAATTATTATTGAATAGCAAGAGTTAATTCTTTCTCAGCAGAGATTTTATGGGATGCCTTATTTGGCTTCTAATTCATGTAGAAAAATATTGAGATATATGCAGACTTTTTTTTCTTCTCCCAATGGCAAACTATGAACAGTTACAGTGTAACACAGTCCATTAATCTATACAAGGCCAGATGTGGTGGTCTCTTTATTATGGAGTTACCTAATAGGTGGGCCACCATCACCTCCTATGAACGGATGGATAGTTACAACCGTGCCTTCTCCAGGATTCGAACCCAGGCCCTTTGTTATCACAGTCAGGCTTCCCTAACCACTATACTTGCGGCTTGTATGCAGATAAGTGTAATACTGTGACATGTGAACCAGATTTGTGTGATCATGGACCATTTTGATATTCCTCTCATGCAATAACTGTGTTTATATCCATTATCATATAAGAAGCTAAATCATTGCAAACCTTTCATATTACTGAATTGTGTTATGATTTGGAATATAGTCATAATAGCCCTTGATGTTATTTTTATATAATAATTATAATGTGTAATAACTTCAAAAGAAAGTTATGTATATTTATAAACTTGAAAATCCTTCGTACTTTTCAGTTACCTGTTTTTTTAAATGAACTCACTGTGAAAGACATAAATTTAGGAACAGCACTACCAAAAATACATCGAGCATCTGAACCATCTGTTGACCAAAGAGGATTATGGATTGATATAGATATATCTTACAATGGATCTTTTCAGATGACGCTAGAAACAAAATTAAATCTCTTAAGACATAAAGCAGATGGTGATGATCTCTCTCTGTCTGATATGGATAAAGACAGTGAAACTTCTGAACAGCCTGTAAGGTAAGATTTAAATATTTAATGTTTCATAACTGTAAACTAAGCATATAATTTATATAATTAAAATAAATTATTTTTATTAAAAAATTTGTATGACTAAAATATGGCTATATTCAGTGGTGAGCTGTAGGGGGCTTATGGGAGCTTTTTGTAAAATTTGTCTGTATTTTGCAAGCCCTTTATTAAAGGTTTGCTTTTTTGAAAATACAATAAAAGTGGTTTTCAGTTGAATCTTTCTTTCTTTGCCTCAATTAGAAACTTTGATCCTGGTAAAAGTAATTTATAGTAAATAATTCATGAAAGTATCTTTTTTGTGTCTTTACGTCTCATGTTCTTTGCTTTGGGAAACAGCTAAACATCATGCATAGCTGCGTCAAGAAAATAGAAAATCTATACATTTGTGAATCATTGAGTTTGACTGAAGATATTGTAGGTTGGAGAAAATCAACAGATTGGGGCATTGTAATGAAGCTGACAGTCCTAGTCTCTAGTATTTGCTACATCCAGGGTAATGAACTGCATTCTGGAGTGACAGAATATTGCTAATTATATTTAGTATTGATATTTTTGTCATCTAGAGTATAACATCCTCACTGTTAAAAGCCCACTTTATTTTAATTTGTTATTAAAGATAATAATGAAAGCTAGCAAACTGATAATGTATTGACATAGGTAGGAGTTTATAATTAAATGCCTTATGTTTAAAATTAAAAGTTCAAAAATATGTTTCACAAATAAAATCAAAAGCCAAAAGAGGAAGTGTCAAGTTTATTCTCTTCACTGTCTAATTAATTTTGAATCACCCCTCAAAAGAGCATAATATTTCCTTTGCATTGATTAAGCGATTTATTACATTTTCTTTCATAATTTTTTAAAAAATTTTTATTCATTACATAACACTGGAATTTTTTTAATGCATCCCTGAAGAAGCAAGAATTTAGTACAACTAATTAAAAAAAGACAAAGTTATTTAAGTCACTGGAACATAAATTGGAATACATAATCTCTTAAAATAAAAAGGGTTAAGATATTTAAAATAAGATTCAAAATTTCATTTTGTTCTAACATAGCATATATGTTTTTGCTAAATTTTTATACTCAGTGTTAGATTTCTCTCATATAACCAAGATTTATTTTTTTTTTAATTTGTCTTATTAATAGAATTGTATTTATTGATTTAGGTCTCCTGTATATAATAGTGAAGAAGAAGATAGTGCAGAATCTTCCAGTGATGAAGATTTACCAATGCCTGAAGTTCAAGATGGAAATGCCGAAGACAGGTATTTTGTTTATCTATGCTACTGTTAAAGCATCTGAAATTGTTCTAGTACTTTTGTCTAGATTTCTAAATTTAATTTCAACAGGCCTTTAAGGCTTGGGGATAGAAGTGTTTTTTTTTTTTTTTTTTTTTTTTTTTTTTTATACTATGTGGTCCATTTTTATATATATCAAGTCCATTTTTATATATATCAAATAATTAAAAGTCAATAATAAAAATTAAGTGTAAAAACTTATAAAATAAAAGGAGATTTGAAATAAAAAGTAATTTTTTTTAATCTTTATAACAGGTAATATAGATGTAATTGAAGCAAAAACATAAACACATATTAAGAAATAAAATATTTATTTTCAGAAGTGCAGGTGGGAATGTTACCTGTTAAATTCAATGAGTACATTGATTTTTTATATTTTTTTTACTTTGTTATTAATTTTATTTAATTATATGCTGTCAAATCTATTTTAAATGTGATAATAAGGATAATAGTGTTATTCAAAAATCATAGATAAACTCTCTATAAATATTGTACTTCTAAAATCAAAGTTCAATAAAAATACAGGAATATATTTTTTCTGTATTTTCACTGTTTTTCTAAAATCATTTCTTTTTAAATCAGTTATCAAGTGACTTGTGGTTTTTTTATTTAAATATATATATGAAAAATAAATGCTATAAATTCTCATTATTTCTTGTTACTCTGATTTGAGAATATTAACTTTTAGTTATAAAAAACTGCAACACTTTATCAAGATTTAAAAGGGCTTATGCTACCATTGTTATTTTTTACTGACCAAGATTTTCATTTCTGTTTTTACCATTTGCAAGTCAACTTTTAAATTGGTATTGACCCATCAGTTCCATATTAGCATTGCTTTAGAAGCTGTTCCATGAGCACTGTTGCAGTTCTCAGGGCTACAACATGCCAGTTACAAATTAAATAATCACAGCAAGGATTATTACTGTAAAGATTTTAATATGGATATCTCACATTTCTCTAACAACTGCATACATATATTAAGTGAAAAGGGAATTTCCCCACTTAATTTGCAGTTAAAGAAAAAAATAAGAATAATAAAAAATAGTCCAATCAAAAGTGGCACTCCTTATGTCGACTTAGCCCAGCCGTTACGTGATCGTCTGTCTGCAGCAGTCGTCTCCTACATTCTCCCCCTCTTTGAGTCGACTTCAGGTTGGCTCAAAGACATACAATACCTGGTCGAAGAGATCTAATCTCTGAGGCACCTTGATCACACGTCCAAATCTTGACACTTTAGCACCTTGCAGGATGTTACTAGAAACATTAGAATCTGAATGCTCATCACTAAAAATAGAAGAAATAGGATTAGTAAAAGAGTTATCGTGTATAGGATCAGTGGGTGTGTCCATTAACTGCACTTCCAATGGAAAGACTCTCTGAATGGGGCAAAGCAGCGTACCAGCTTGAGTCTTTAGTTCTACAGTTCTCTTGCCATCTTTCCCAGGAATTAGTCGAATGACCATAGCTAAAGGCCAACTGCATCCGTGTTTGGATGTCATCTCCTATTAGGACAATTTCACTCAGCCGTAGCTCTGACAATGGACTCTTCCTATTTTGGACCAAAAGGCCTAAATATTCTTTCCTAAATCTATGCCTTAAATCATTAAGTAATTTTTGGTGATGTTTAGCCCTTATTCGAAGACCTTTGGAATCGCAGAAATCAACATCGGGAACACCTAAGCTATGATTCTCGGTGAGAAACATGGCTGGGGAAAGTGGGATTAAATCATCCGGATTTTCGGATAGATAGGTAAGAGGTCTAGAGTTAATTATTGACTCCCAGTTGCACAATACTGTGTACAACTCCTCGATTGTAAGAACCACGTTCCCGAGTGTCCTTCTCAACAGTTCCTTTACTACAGGAACTAACCTCACCCACTAGCCTCCCCACCAAATGGCTGTGGGAGGATTAAACTTCCATATTATGCATTGTATAGCCGTTTGCTTTGAAATTTTTTCCCAATCGATGTTACCAAGTTCTCTTTGCGCTCCTCTGAAATTAGTTCCGTTGTCGGAATAAATTATTCTCGGCCTCCCCCTTCTGGCTACGAATCGTCTCAACGATAACAAGAATGCATCGATAGACAATGAGGAAGTAAATTTCAAATGAACGCCTGTATATATTGCACATGTGAACGAAACAATCCAAACTTTTTCACCTCCCTTCACATACAAGGGTCCTGCCAAATCAACTCCTACTACCTCGAACACCGCTCCGTCATTGACACAATCGCCTGGTAGCGACACCGGCTCGCAACTGGGAGATTTGGCCTCATATCGCTTGCATCTTACACAATTTTTTATGACTTTCCTGACGGCTCTTCTGCCCCTCACTATCCAAAATTGCTCTCTTAATATTCCGAGTAATATTTGGATTCCAGCGTGACAATTTTGTAAATGATAATATTCTATCAGACGCTGGGTGAAAATGCACTGGTCTGGTAAAATAATTGGACAAATAAATTCAGGGTCGTCTGATCGCTCTGTAATGCGCGTTTTCACCCGTTTTATACCCTCTCTGTCTGAAATGACACTCATATTGGGAATAGAGTCGGCGGAGGGAAAATACTTATTTTGTGCAAATTTTATAAGAGTTTTTTCAGCATATTCCATCTTATGAATGGTTAAGTCACCAGTTTCTCGAAATGCATGTTTACTTTTTGCGTTTTTCACAAACTGCGATATCCATGTGACTAATCGAATGATGGATTGAAAATTCGAAATCCTAATTGCATACCAAGGTATTTCCTCTTCAACTGAATTAAGGTTACACAATCTGACCTTCCTTTTTTCTCGTTCTACCTCAGAGGTCTCATAAGGCAAACGGTCTGGTGGCCAGTTGTTATTAGGTTCCAGGAGCCAGGACGAACCCTCCCACCAAAGAGAATCAGAAAATGAACGAGGGGAACTGCCTCTTGAATGCTATCTGCCAGGTTTAAATCACCTGGAACACGGCGCCAACACTGAGAAGTAATCAGACTGTTTACTTCTTTTACTCTATTCGCAACGAACACTGACCAATCACCACTGTTCTTAATCCACCAGAGTGCTACCATAGAATCACTCCATGCAATAATTTTCAAATCAGGCAAATCTACGACGGCGTATACTGAGTGTACTAGTCTTGAACCAATGCAACAGGACATCAATTCTAACCGGGGTATTGTCAGAGATTTTAACGGCGCTACCCTGGATTTGGCTCTGATCAATTGAATTTTGACTCCCACGCGCATTACAGTTCTAAAGTTTTCACATGCACCATTGGAGCTCTTACATGCATCAACGAATAGATGTAGCTCTGAATTCTCATTTATTTCTACATATCATGAAATACTAATTTTCTCAAGATATTTAATTTCATCCTGCCACTTCTGAAAAGTTTTCTGAATGTTGTCTGGCAAGGGGTCATCCCATTTTAATTTCATAGTTCAAACCTCTTGTAATAGTAACTTAGGTAACAAGGTAGTTGGACTCAAAAAACCCTGCGGATCAAAAATTTTATGTACCATAGCCAAAATAGTACGTTTACCTTATCTTTACTTACAAATCAGACAAGGTCATAATTATCCATTGAATAATTAAGATTACATTTTAATGTATCGTTATCCAAATGCCATAAGATTCCAAGAAGAGAAGTTACACTTGAACTACGGGAAATACAACGACCTGGAACATTACTTTCCCAACCCCGTAGGTTAAAACATCCCCAAGCCATTACTTCTGTCGCCTTAACTATAAAATTTTCTTGCTGTTTGATATAGTGAACCCCAGTGACACAATTGTCAGCATAAAACGAATGCTTTAATTTTGGGGTCACATCATCGATGCTGAGAGTTGGAACGGAGACGAACAAACGCCAAACATCCACTCTGCAGTGTCTATAAATCATAGGTTCTTCAAGAGTTGAAAGAAAAAACCTCCAATAATCTCTGTATTCTGGGATAATACTCAGCTGAAGAAACACTTTCTCTATGTCCGATGATAAACCAATGGAATACAATCTAAACCAGTCAATTATATCGGGTATGAGTTCAATTAAGTTCGGCCCTCTACTTAAACAATCATTTAGGAATGGTTGATTTCTCTCTCGGGCTGAAGCCTCAAACACCGGCCTTACCTTCATTGTCTGGCTAGTATACTTTATAACAGGTCTATGGGGTAAATAAAAACTCAAATTATCAAGTTCAGTTTCAGGAACCTTTTCTATTACTTTTAAGTCTTCCCATTGCTTAAAAACTACCTTATCTAACTGATTTCCCTCATTAATTCGGTGACACATTCTTTGATGCCTTTTAAAAGTCATAGACTTATTGTTAGATAACAGAATTTCAGATTTAAAGGGTAGTGGCAATTCATATCGGCCATCAGGAAGAACATTTAAATTGCTTAACGGTGTCAGAGTGAGCAAGTTTACGTTTAACATCTTTCAGTTGGGTTTGTTATGCCAATGGCATCTAAATTCCAGAGTTCGGTTACGCTAAGATTAGCACAATGCAACAAAACTGCATTATTGCACAAATTATTTTCTAGTAATGCTGGAATAGTAGCTGAAGTAGGTTCTTTAGATAAGCTGTTTACTTTACCAATCACAGTGTATCCAAATTTAGTCTCAACTACAGTTACACCCGAATTCATTTTCAGAGAGCTGCCAGTAATAATGTCCTCAATGGAATCTGCACCTAAAAGCAACTCAATGTCATATTCTTTATCTTGCAAGTCAGACAAGATAATATTCCTTTCTTTTAATTCTTTTAGGGTATTGGGATCAACTACTTTTGGAACACATCCACATATTTTGTTTTGAGAAAGTACTTCAAAGTTATGGTCATACGTGCCCTCAAAATTTCTTAAATTAACATCAAACACTAAGTGGGAATGAAGACTTGTCTCTCTCCCCCCAAACAAATTGTGTATAAGGGTTTGTTTCAATTTCGATTTAGGACGCAGTTGCAAAAACGCGATGGCCCTTTCTGAAAGATAAGATTTCTGAGAACCACAGTCCAAAATCGTACGAACTGTAAGTTGTCTACCTTCGAATACTATTTTTAAAACAAGTGTTTGCAAATACACATTTTCATTAACAGTTGGTTAGACAATACATTACTTGAAATAACAGTACTGTCAGTTTCATTTCGCTTTACAGGTTCGCCATTTGAGCACATAAGGTTATAGTGAAATTTATCACAAGTTAAACATTTTACTTTATTTTTGCATGCCCGTGAACTATATCCAACTAATAGGCAGGCAACTCTAACAGGCGTGCTTTTGCACCAAAAGCTTTCGTTTATCTTCTAAATACATTTTGCGAACAGAAAAACATTCGGCAGAATTGTGGGATTTCTCACAAAAAATACAACGTAAATTTTGCCTACCTGTATTGTCTTGAACATTTTCCAAGACAGCAAATCTGTAGAGCAACCCAGATCATCAGCATGTGGATGTGAATGTGCAGAACGTGAAGCTCCCAACCCGGTACGAGCGAGCTTAATCATTTCCTCACTTTGCACTTCATTTCGAAGAAAGCACAAAAGTTTATCCAAAGAATGTGCACTATCTTGCTGTGTGGCTTCTTTCCCACTCACGAAGAACAGTCTCTGTTTGACAGGACTCAACAAGTGGCTCCAAAAATTCAGCAAATTTTTCCTTAGTTCTACCGAGGCTTTGGAGTGCCATGAGCTTGCTCTCAAGTAAATCATAAAGTTCAGCTAAATCTCCTTTAATCTGATCAGCAGCATTTTTCATTACTATGGAAAGTAGATCCCGTACATTAAATCTGAACCAAAAAGTTCATCTCTCCTGAAGCATTCTTTAAGTTGTCCAATCATCTTTGAAGAGTTTTTCTTTAGTTTACAGAAAACTTGTTACCAGTCTTCACGCTTTAGAATCTGCTACCACACATTGTAACAGATATTGAAATTTGTCTTCAAAACTGGGATCAAAAGGCAAGAAAGTCTTTCGGTTCTCCATTAAATTTCCTCAGTTCAAGAGGCCCACCAGCGGCCGAGCGGTAACATCGCTGAACACTGGTAGTTCGGTCCGAGGTTCGAATCCCACGAACGGGCTGGCTGCATGGGCGTTTTCATGGTTTTCCCCATGTGTAATGTGTATACGAGCCAGTTTCTCTTAGAAAGTCCTCCACGAAGGCATCCCTCCCTTAAGGCAGATAGCCCTAGAGTGCTTTGCCGTAATCTAATAAACCAAACCAAAACCTCAATTCAAGTTTCGGAAGCTTGAATTTCCTTTTTTGCTCAGTTTTTGTTCCTTCCGTAATCGAATTTCCCTTCTTTGCATTTTCTAACAACGAACAAATCAAGCAGAACTTGTCTCAGTATTCTTCTGCTTTCAAAATATCTTGGGAATATTCGTCTTGAAGGGTATCATCACTTGGCAACAAATTCGAAACTTCTTCTTGAGTTGTTTCCAAGTGCGGGAATTTGTCTTGAATCTGCCTAAACAACGTACTGACTTAGACACAGATAAAATCCTAAAAAACTTTTGTTTTCCTAAACTTTTGTTTTCGATCTTTTGAGCTATATCGTTGCAGCATACCGTAAATGCTATTCTCAGCGACTTTCGTTTTGCTTTCAAAACTTTTATGTCCAGATTTCATCAAAAATATAAAGTAGCTTAAAAAAAAATTATCTGCAATTTCTGTATGTCACTCTTTTTTCATAGCTGAAAACATTTCAGATATAGCTGTCACATTCTTTCATGTGATGTAACATAAATTGTCTGTATACAGGAACAAAAATAAACATAATTCTAGTGTTAAGTAACGGCTGTCTTTTCCCTTTCTTAATAATAAAAGAGGACATTAGTAATGTATGTGTGATCTGCATATGTGTTATTATGCTAATCATTTATTTGTTTTATCATCATGAAAATTATGAGCCAGTTTCCCATAGAAAGTCCTCTGTGGAGGCATCCCTTCCATTGGGTAGAAAGCTGTAGATGCTTTGATATAATTAAATAAACCAATTCTGACTATCTTTAAGATAGTAACTCACAGTGTTTGTTTTATTTACTATAAATAAATTGAAATTTAATTTAAAATATTTATGCTTCATTATTACATTTGAACTTTAGTTCTTTGTAACATAATCTATTTTTATTTATATTTCAGTACTTCACAAGCTGCAGGAGGAAGCACTGGCAAAAAATTATTACGATTTGTAGACAGACTTGCTCAGTCAACATATTTTCAGCAAGCTGCTAAGAACAAATACATAAAAAAAGCAATGGAAGATATATCAAACACCCCATTAGTATTAACAGTGGAAGTTCAATGGTTAACTGGAACATTAGCTCTTAATATACCCCCAATGCCCAGCGACAGATTATGGTATGGTTAAATTTATGTTTCTATACATGATATATTGTTAAATGTATACATATTTTTTCTTTTATATGAGATTTCTCGTGTGGATGTGTATTTGTTTGTTTTCATAAAATGACTATCAGCATAAATATTTGGGTATTTTCTTCTTGCACTCTCAAAAAATGTCGCCAATGAATTACCGATTTTGCAAAGGGGTAAAAAATTATTTGGCTATTTTAACAACTTAATAGGTACTGAATTCGTGAATAATTATATTTAAAAAAAAAAAGAATAAGATATAAAAAAAGAAAAATAAATTAAAAAAGATTTATATCAAACTTCTAATTTAATTTGTAGTAGCCCACATTTTAAGTTGGTTATTTCTCCTTTTCATTCTGAAAATAGTAACTACTTATAATAAATCTTCTTAAACTGTTCCTGTTGCAAAACTAATCTTTCTCACTTGATACTTAAATAATGCTAATTCATGATACATTCATGATACACTTGTATAAAACGTCAGCCAACAGTAATTTCAAATTTTGTAAATCAAAACCTAAATTTAACTGGAATGAAGGTGAACCAAACCCAGATCATCTGGTCTAGTTTCCATCGTAGACATGCTGCATTTCTTCTCTTGCTTCACTGCTTTTTGCTTACTTTCCTCTGCTGCCCTTTCTTTCTTTAGATTTTACAAATATAAAAACTCATTAAAGATACATAAAAGGACCAATTTTTGGGTTTAGCACCAATTTTATCTGTGTCTTAATCAAAAACGTAGAGTAAGGAATAGAAAGAGATGCTTTCCTCTCACTAATTTGAATAATGCAGGGCTGCCGAGCTTTGGTAGCCAAAGGAGATGTTGTTCTTTTGTTTACATCCAGAGCGTGACAGTGCTCTGGTTGTACTTCCACACGTGACAATTCCACGCAAATTGAAAAGCAGGGGACACTTCCACATAAAAGAAACATTGTGTGCTGGATGGGTAATAGCAGTTTATATAGTTTAGTAGCATTTCCACACAGATCATATATTGGTTAACTTTTGATAACTTGCAACAGCAATTTTGATTATGAATTTGTTTTATAAAATTCTAAGCTACTAGAATAAAAATAATTTCCTGTGCTTGCCTTCTGTGATATTTACAAAATTCCATCTGTTCATGTATTCATTATTTTCCTGTAATCATTAATTATTTTCAAAACAAAATTTTAATTTACAGCATGTTATATTATCATAGGTATGGTTTCCGTACAAATCCATATTTATCTATTGTGGCCCGTCCAAAGCTTGGCCAGCATGTTGTAACTTTTACTCATGTTACTGACTGGATAGAAAGGAAATTGGTTTCTGAATTTCAGGTAAAATATTCATTCCTTGTTATCAATGCTCAATATATATTTTCATGCTTCCACTTTTTTTAACCCCATCCTGTTAATTAATAGTTTAAAGGCCTTCTATAAAAACAATTTGTTTCCTAAATGCTGTTAAATTTTATATACATCTGTAGTTTCCTGAGGAAAATAATTCTTCAGTCATTTTTTATATATATTTTTTTATTGTTAATTATTTAGGTTGAGCTGCTTTCATTTTTTACTTTCAGTTTTTAATGTTAAAGCTGCCAATATGTCATAACATAAAAATGTATGCATAAAGTATGGAACTGTTTAGCTGCAACTGACCCTACTTTAAAGCTAAATCAAATTGGAGTGTATGTTTTATTGATACAGTTTATACTAATCAACTTGAGCTAACATTTATTGTACTAAGAAAAAAAAAAATCAGTATGTGAAAATTTTTTCCATAATTAGGTAGTGAAATCTATGTTGCATCATTTTAACAATGTTAAAAATCTGAAAGCGTACGTTTAAAAAAAAAAAATGTTAAAGACTGATTTCAATTTTATAATTTCTACTGTATGTTATTATTAAAGCATCTATTATTTAAATAGTTAAGAGTAATCTTGTTAATGGAATGTGAAAATTGACAATTCTGCTCAGGGCCAAACCTGAGTAGGTTGTAAATGACCATAGTTAGGACTGTCAGCTATTTGATAGCTGTTTGTAAAGAGCTCTAAGAGGTTGTCACTTTGGCACTATCCATTATGAGAAAGCTTTTGGCACCGGTTTATATATTGGGGGTGGTAACAATAAGGAAGTATTGATAATATAAATATTCTCTTTGTGCTGTGATAAAAAAAAGTTGATGCATATTGCCTCAAACCCCAAAAAATAAGTACCAGTACTCTTTTGAATAGGAAGTGTATTCTTTTATTTTTTCTGATATGTGTGTTTGGATGGTTCCTCTTCTATTCAAGTAATATTAACTCTAATGTTTAATCAGGATAAATTTTTTATGCGTTTTGTCTCATCCCCTCCTGGTTGAAATTTTTCCTTTTTGAAATTTATAAGTAGCTATTGATTGAAAGAAGCTCGAATTATTTTAATCCTCATCATTCTGCAATTCAGTGTTTCTCAGAGGCATTTATTTCTTCATCACTTCATAAAGAGGTTCTTATTTCTTACTGTATACTATTTCAAGATTTATTTAAAAGAATGCCAGGAACTATTCATAGTTGAAGTTTTAATATCTTTAACAATAAGCTGCTCAAATATGATTGATCTTTATTTTTAATATTTAGTTCTGGAGTAAGTAACATTATATTGTCCAGATTAATAAAGTCCAAATTAACAAGGTAATACTGTACTGAAAAATTTATGCAGAACTGTACCATAAATAAAATTTTGTTAAATAATATAAATAAATAAATAATTTCATAAAATATGTCAGAAAAATTTTGTATATTTTATTGTATAACAAATGCATATTTTTCTTATGCTACTGAATGTAAAATAGTATATCAGTTTTGAATTATATTTGAAAATAAGTTAGATCAGATTTTCTTCCAGTTTGTGATAAATAGTCCTTTCATTTGTTACAGAAAGTTCTTGTTATGCCTAATATGGATGATCTTATAATACCAATAATGCAAATGGATCCAGACTTACCTAAAGCATGAGAACAAGCCATTATTCATGTATAAAGTACTTTCTAGTCTGTACATTTCAATTACAAAAGTGTTTTGTTTACATTTTTTAACAGAAATGTTTTTTTGCAAGCAGAATGCCTCTTGCATAGTTTATATAAACACTGACATAGCTATTATAATTAAACGTGATTACTTCATTGTTCTCTATGACAGAAGTATATTTGTTATAGATTGATATAAGCTGATTTTTATTCTAAATTGCATATTTGTATTATAAACTTTGATACTCAATACAAATCTACATTTCATAATGTATATATAACGCCAATTAACAATGAGCTTAGTGTGATATTTTTCTTTCAGTATTTCAAATATTAATTTTCAAGATTTATAAACCTTCTTGAACCTTTTAAAATGTATTCCATTCTTGCATTATATAAGGATTCAAATTGCTGAAATAAAATGCATTTCACAAATTAAGGAACATGTCAGTTTAAAAACCAGCACCTTGAACCACTGCCTTCAGGAAATTTTGATTTTAAATCATGTGTATTGTAATTCAGTATTTTTAAAAAGGAAATTATTTAAAGCACTGTTCTTTATGAAATCAAATATATCACGTATTAATATGGCTGCTGAATATTACTATTGCTTTTATTTTTCAGGAAAAAAATTTCAAAATCATATCTAACGATAAATTAAAATGCTTCGTAAAAATATTAAATTTTGTTTAATATAAATAATGAGACTAAAAAGAACATTATATATCATTAAAAAATAGAATTTGCATACATTTTTACTAGATCATGCAGTACATCACAGCTACGGAAATGAGATCTTCAGTTTTACAGTTTTGATGTATATTGTATGATATTAATAAAGTCGCTGCAAGCCCATCCCCACGAAAAAAATTTATCCATATGTAAAAGCTGAAGAAAAAAGTATAAAATAAATTTTAATTATTGAATTTGTAATGAATAATCATATTATGTCTGTGCACTCAACTGTTTTCACTTGTCAGAATTATTTATCTTAATGTGTATAAATAAGAGTGGAATTATTTTTAGCTTATTTATAATTGTTTAAAATTAAATTTAAAAGCATTTGTCAGAATTATCTGATTTAATAATAAAATTAGTGCTGGATAGTTGTGCAAATGTCACTGTTCTCATCTTTGCATTTGTGCATATTTGATCTGTATACAATGTTTAATTGGCTTTGAATTATTAAAACATTTCTCAGAGATAATAAAGGCTTATACATTTTTCTTAAATCTAACTGAGGCAGTGAGAGATAATTGTAACTTGGGGGGGGGGGCCTTTTAGTTCCACCCTTAAGAAATTAAGATGTCGAGTTAACATTTGAAAAGTTGAGAAATTCTAAAATGTTACTAAATTATCTTGTGAAGGACTACTTCTCATTAGTTCTTTGAAACCTTAAAAATGTACGATATTTTTTTTTTTCATTGAATTTATTGAAATACAGGAAGATTTTACCTGTTTCAGTTCTTCACTTTTTTTTTTTTTTTCAGATTAAACATAATAAGCAGTTTTCTAAAGATTTTTTAAAAATTCAAATAATATAAAAAAAGATGCCAGTAAGTTGATTTAATAAACTTTTACTCCTGCAATTCAGCATTTGTTGCAATGATATATTTTCTGTAAGGAAATAGTAAGCATTACTTCACAGTATAATTATATTTTTTTAGATTTAAAACTGTTTCTTTCATCTGCTAGCTTAAACATCTATGCCCCCTCCCCCCATCAAAAAAAATATGTCTTTCTTTTTATTCTGTAGAATTCTCATTTGAAAAAAAGGTGGGATTCTTTGCAAAGTATAAATGTTTTATTAAAAATCTGCAATTCTACAAAAGTGCTTCTTTGTTTAATAAGGAGAAAAATTGAAAGGCAAGTTGCTATCTTTTTGCAGTATTAACTTAAAGCATTTGAAAAAAATTGATATACTACACAAAATTTTCATGTTGAAAAATATACATATTTTAACATCATACATGAAATATAAGTGTTCCATTTTTATTATATGTTTGTAGTTATATAATATGTGCAATTAGTGTTGAATTCTTGATAAACCATTATAAAATTGTATATAGTAATGCCACCTCAGATGTTTAAAAATATGAGGTTTGATGATGTTATTGATGTTAATGATAATACCACATTAGTAATATTAATGATAACACTACGTTATCAATGTTAATGAAACTGTAAGCACAGCACTAATGTTAATTATAACACATTTGATCTGTAAAACAGATATAGTCGATGGCTAATGTCTGCTGTCCCTTAATTTAACTTATCATTTAAAGAAGAACTTGGAAATTATTTAAACTTGGAAATGATAAGTTAATTTAACTTATCATTTCCAAGATTATCTCTGCAAGCTAAATCAAATTTTCTTTTTATTTTGAATGTTTAATATTAAAAATATATGCATTGTAGAAGAAAAGAATTAAGTCCTCTCATTTGAAAAAAAAGGTGGGATTTCTGCATTATCATTCTTGAGATTAGTCTTTATGAAGGGATCTTATACAGTTTGATCATGCATTTAAAATTTACAGAATTTATGTTAATTAATGAAGTTATTGTTCTAACAAATAAAGAGTTTTCTTGAATGTAGCAATATCTAAATATTAAATTGAATTTAAATGCATTTTATATATGAAGGCAGGCATTTTAAATAATCTTTTTAATTAATTTAATGAATGCCACTACCTGAAATACATTTTGCACAAATAAGCAGTATCTTTTCTCTGTGCTTTTTGCAAGCCTTTCTTTTTTTACATCATGAATGTTTATAAGAATACTGTTTGTGATCTTACGCACTAGATGTATTGGATAAGTGTATTTTCTGTGATAACTATTGCCAAAGTACATCTATGTGTTATTGTCTTAGCATATTAAATGTTTTCCACTTTTGGGAAATTGGTGAAATGGTTGTATCATAACAATTTGTGTAATCTATTGTGTGGTTTGTTTATTATTGCCTAGTCAGATAATTTTCTTATGTGTTCTATAAGAAGTTTTAAGTTTTTTCAGTGATAGAATTTTTATGTGTTAGAATTATTTTTCCTTGTTTAGTATAACTTTTGCAGGGTATTTAAGATGTTTGGAATTTTTTCCCAATGAAAGCAATTATGTGCAATCGCATAGTAAAAATACTGTTAAATGATATGATCGTGAATAAAGTGTGAAGAGCTTTAATCAAATATCCTAACTGTATCTTTCTTGTGATATGAAAGTAGTGAATATTGTGATAAGCAAAGCTTTGTTTTGTGATTCAAATTTGTTATTTTTTTTAATAGTGTACTTAAAAAGAAAGGCTGTCATACATAATGAAACCAGTTCAACAATATTAATAGGAAATTTTAAAATATTAAGAAAAGTTCATATGTTATAAGCATTCCCCCCAGGAATGACCATAAAAATTTATTTTGTATTTTTAAAATATTGCATTTTCATTTTTGAAATTATGTATATGAAATCTTTGATACATTTAATGCAGAATATGATATTTTTATTGTTATATTTTATTGTCAGTAAATAGTTAATGAAAATGAATATAGAAATGAAGCTTCAAAATATTCATGGGTTTTTTTTCTGCACAGATTGTAAAACAACTTAATAAAGAGTTCAGCTGTAATTTCCTAGAATTCAATTTTAAGTAAATTACCATAAACCAAGATTTCACAGCTGTGAAAAGAAAAAAGTGATTACAATCTAAATTAAGTGTAATAGCCATTTTCTTTGAAAAGTAAATTGATGCTTCATGAAAAGACTTCATTAAGCTTTATATTTAAAAGTATACTTAGCATGTGATTATCACACTGAAGAAAGTGAAACTGAACTGGAAAATGAAGGGAATGTAAACTTGTTGAAGAATTAAATACTGCATGCAGCTAAAGTTAAGTTAAAAACAAGATAAAATATTTTATGTTTGCATGCTGAAACCACATTTAGACAAAAATAACAGAGTTTTCACAGACAACCTATCAGCTTAGTCAGCTGGAACTGAAATGGATAGTTTGATCTAATGTATCTTTTTTGGGGAAGGTTCATTTTTTTCTGCAGGGTTGTTATACTCAGAATTGATGTCTAGGTGTTTGAAAGGTTGAAGGGTAGGTCTATGTTGCAATGTGGATGGGTAGTGATTTAAGCACTTCTGTAATTTGAAGACTACTTAAACATGGTTTCAGCATGTAAACCTAGAATATTTCGTCTTGTTTTTTAAGTAGGAATGTAACATTCTGAAAGTGAATACTAAAAATATCTAAATGAAAATATCTATTTGTCTTGTCTTTCTAGAAGTTGTTAGCAAAACATAATATATGTGAATATTATGGCTTTTCATTACTAAAAGTGAAGATGATTTCATTAATTCAGAATGTTGACAAAACAGATAAAAATATTCTTCAGGGTCTTTTAAAAGTTTTAACCTGTTCCATTCACTCTCAGAAATCTTACTAAAAGCAAGCAATTTCAAAAAATGCTTTAAAGAACTTTATCACTTTTAGACAAATTTAGAAACACTTTGTAACATTTCATACCTCTAAAAAATTGCTGTCCAGTTGTTATTCATGAGTTATGTAAACATGTTTAAAATACTACTTGATTTCTTATATACTGAAAATTAATAAAATCACAACTTAAAATATTTTACATCAAAACTCTATACTTGCAAGGTACTAAAAAAATGTAAGAAACAAAAATGAATTGCTGAAGTTTTTATTAATTTATACCATGTGCATATCAAAGAGATTACACGACTCTCTTGAACAGCTGATCATGAACCCAAAGTTGCAAGTTTAAAAATAAATCAGATAAAACCATATTTCAGACTATAATAATTTTGATTTAATGACACCTTATGCTGGATTTATTGCCTAATAAATTGCTAATATAAAGTATATGCATAACCAATTACCTTCAGAATATATACATAACCAATTGCCAGTCTTCTGATGCTATTGTCTTCAGGGTCATTACTGATAATATCCAAGAAAGTGAGGATTTCTAAACATGCAGTATCTACTCTTGAGTTCAATTAACTAAGAAATAAAAAAAATTCCATATTAAAAAGTCAGTGTTTATGTATTTCTTGAATGCCTCTTTTTGTGAAGTCTGGAAAAACTAAAATACCATATGTTTTTAAAATATCAACATGTATTAGCATGCAATGTGTTTCTACTTTGGTCTGAAACAGCTGATTTTTTTCATTCTATTATATAAGGTCTGTCCTGAAAGAAACTGAGTTTTAAAATAAATCCATAATTAATAAGAGTACCTTTAAATCAGACTTGTCTCTTTCAAAATATTTTCCTCCTTTATTTATACACTGCTTCCAATGTGTCTTTCATTGTTGGAATGCCTGTGAGTCACAAGCACATCTCACAGCGGATTTTTTTATCTCTTCTATTGTTTCAAAATGTTGATCTTTTAAAATGGATTTGAACTTTGAGAACAAAAAAGTCCACAGGTGCCAAATCTGAAGAATAGGAAGATTATGGGATGATTATCTCTTCTTGTTTGACCAAAATTTCCTGGATAAGGAGTAACAAGTGTGCAAAGCATCCACATCTTGTATCTGCAAACTCACAGCCTCTTTTCTCATTCTGCTTTTCTTAAATGCCTCATAACATCCAAACAAAAATGAATGATTGTTTGGCCTCATTTAATGAACTCATGATTGATTCCTTGCCAATCAAAAAAGGCAATCAACATTATCTTCATATTCAATCAACTATGATATGCTTTTTGGATGTCTTGTTGGTGACATTCTTACCCAGTGAGGTGATTTCCATTTGGTTTTAATTATTTATAAGCCCGTGTTTCATCTCCTGTTATGACATGTTTTATAACATTTTTAATCCACATTTGAATGATTTAACAACTGCTAAGTACCTGTGATACAGTTCATTTTTTACTCATTAATCAAGAGGCAGTGTACAAATTATTACAATGTAATGCATCTGCAGATTTTCATTCAGAACAGTATGAGATGAGCTTTTGCTGATGCCTGCATTTCAGCAATCTCGCCGACAGTTACCTCAATGTGAAGTATCGCCCATTGACATGGAAAGGCATCCGGTTTTCAGGTCATCTTTGGTGGATACTCTGCCAAATTTGAAGCATCAATACCATTCATAGCATTGGGACTAGTAAAACAGTCCTTTCTATAAACTTGTTGTAACATCTAAAACATTTATAAAAAGGTTTTGCCAATTTTATTACAAAACTTCATGCAAACTCATAGCTCTTAAAGATCTTTCATTTTTTACATGTAAATAAGCACCAAATATACAAAATGTTGTTTCATTGCATGGCTCTGGCAAAATGATTTGGCACTGTTAAGAAAAGAGCAGAGACAAGTTTTTTCTTTATTAATCATGTTGAATTTAAACTGAATGCATTTCTAGAGTATTCTGAGTGCATAAAAATGAATTTTTCATAAAATGTTTAAGAAAATAGAGATGGGGAAAATATATAGTGATTGTAAACACTTGAAAATTTTATGAAACAAATTCAAAATAGGTTCCATGGATTTTGAGACGTTTTCAGTCATTTTCTGAATCTGCATAATTACCTATTAAGCACAGACAGCTTTGCAATTTTACTTGCTGTTGCAGTTTTGAATTGAATGCAAACAGCATACCATTATCTTAAGACAGTATTTCTCAGTCTATGATCCTCATTCTCCATTATATTTCTGTAGATTTTCAAAAAAAGAGGAGTATAAAATTCAGATTAACATTTATACCACACTGAAAATCTATAATATGTTTCTGCTATGCAGTGATTGTTGTACATAATGGAAACCTGGCTTCGAACCGGATGTTTAAAATAAAAGAATGTGAAGATACTCTTCATTAGTGTGCTAATAGTGCAGAATATGTATGTGGTTATGATATTAATACCAATGATGCTAGTGCCATTAAAAAATATATTGGCACTAGTGTTCAGAGAAAAAATATTTTCAAAAATATGACAAGAGATATTGGGATTTAATTTATGTGGCAATGAGAGTGAATCAAAACCTCAATGCCTTTTATGTTACAAAATAAAACTCCCAAAACTGAAGCAGCACTTAGAAACAAAATGACTGAGTTTAAAAAGTAAACCTGTTGAATTTTTCCTAAGATGTGTTGAAGAACTGAATAAAAAGTGAAAGTTGTTTGTAATGTAGGTTCTGCAAGCAAAAAGATCTTAGAAGCTTCCTATATTGTAAATCTTCATATTAAAAAGAGCAGGACACCCCATTTTATAAGTGAGACCATGATACTTCCAGCTACAAGACATAGCTAAAACAATGTTTAATGAAAAATTATCTAAAGACATTGATTTAATACCAAGACATTAATTAAATCTAAAGACATTGATTTAATTATAATAATTTTTTTTTCAAACGTGACAGGTACATGCCAAATCAATGACATGGCTAATTACATAGAATCTGGACATATCAGTAGAACAAAAGAAATTCTATTTTATTCACTTCAGACAGATGAGGCAACAGATATTTTGCATGATATACTGTTGATTTTTTATATCAGGTATAAGTTTAACAAATAGCATTCATCAAGATATGTTATTTCAGAAAACTCTGCCAACTTGTATAACTGGAAAACAAATTTTTGAAGTTCTAAATGGTACATGCAAGAGTATGAAGCTGAGTGAAAGTTTGTTCAAATGGGGCTTGTGCACTTACCTGTAGGCATAGTGATGATGTAGCTAAATTTAGAGCTGTGTCACATAACGTTATCTGGTTCCATTATTTCATTCACAGGAAAGGCTTGATGGCCATAAGTATATCCTATAAACTCGAAACTATGCTAGAGGACAGCATTAAGCTAGTTCACTTTATTAAGCAAATGATTTTACTTTATAATAACATGGATAACCAGCACAAACAGCTTCTCCTTCATTCTGAAGTTCACTGCCTTTCACAAGATACTCACCACACTCTTTGAATTATGGTAAGAAGACCTCTTATTTGTGTATTTATATACGAAATTAATGATAATTTTACATCATGTCTTGTTGATAACATGTAGCTAAGTACATTGGCATATCTTCAAGATGGACGTAAAAACTAATTGAACTAAATCTCTATTTGCAAGATTTAGACTGCTCTCACTGCCCATGAAAAAATAAAGGAATTTGAGAAAGAAACTTCGTCTGTGGATTAGTTGTGTAAAACAGTGAAACTTTTCACCATTTTCAACCTTATAATCTTTTTTTAATAGAATATGACATTATTACAAAAGAATTATGCAGCGACATATGTTCGAATCTCAAAATTCTGAGATCACGATTTGAAACTTATTCTTCAATTGGTAAATATAACAATATCTCATGGGTTCATGTTCCTTTCCAGTGCTATATTTAAACTGCCATTAGATGAAAGAGGATAGCCAAGTGAAATCCTGAAGGACACCGAACTTAAAATGAAATTCCAAGCAGAAGGTATGGTCAATTTCTGGAATGGAACCTCATCACCAGTGAAAAAGGAATATAGTGAACTGTGCAGTGGTGCTTTAAAAACTATAATTCAATTTCCTTCTATATACATGTGTGAGAAATGGTTTTCATCATTAACTCAAATAAAAACAAAGGTACCAAAATTAACTTGATGTCATGCTGATCTCAGTTTAAAGTTTATTAATATACTACATCCAAATATAGAATAGTTGTCCTAGAATTACCAGGCTCATCCATCTCATAATGTGAGCACCAATGTTTATTTCATTTTTAATTCATAATACAAACATTATTTAAATTCTAATAACAATGAATTATTAAAAATGAATATAAATTCTCTTGCATTACTTAACATCACTATAAAATTAAAAGAATTTTGGTTAAATATATTCTAAAAATATGACTATACTGGTAGCAACATATGCTAAAACAATTACTTTTGATGAGAACAAAAGTAAGGTGGTTTTCAGAGTATTCTAATTTATAAAAGTTGTCCCCACTTGAAAAATGTTGGAGATGTCTAAGATAATCTCAGAGAGAGAATATGTGGGCATTTTAGATCAGGAATTTTATCTTATTTTTTGAATAGCAAAAACATGAAATAATCCAGACTAATTATTTGATAAAAAAACAATGTCCATTTAAAAGAAGACATTACTGTTCTAAAAATATGAATCATTTAAAAGACAGAGGCATTAATGATCTTATCTTACATTAGTCAGAAATTACTAATCACGTTAGGAAGGGATTCTTTATTAAACATTATAAGTTAGATTTTTGTGTGAGAAATTTTCTTCAAAAAATG